CAAAAGATGTGCCTGACTATTATAATTTGATAAAGTTTCCAATGGATCTTCAGACCATGAAAGATGTAAAGGAGAGAGAAAGAGAGGGAGGGAGAGAGAAAGAGAGAGAGTAATGGTTAATCCAAAAAAATGAAACTGCCCATAATTTATGCATCAAACAATGTAATAATAACAGTACATCAGCCACACTCATAATAGCCACACCTAGTAAATATTAGACATGGTCGATCTCAGTCAAGAAGCACATAATGTTTACATCCCAAATTTTTATTGCATTTTCTGACACATATTGATGTAGTTACATGTATGTTGTAGGGCAAGTTTGAGCTAATTTAGACTTTAATTTTTTAAGTTAAGGCCATTTTAAGAAAATGCCGAAATTCTAAAAAATGCCCAAGGTTTTTTTCCAAAAAATGGCTCTAAAATCACCCCAAATTTTTATTACATTTTCTGATACACATTGATGTACTTATGCTGTGTAGCAAGTTTGAGCTGATTCCGACTTTAATTTTTCAAGTTACGGCCATTTTAAGAAAACGTCAAAATTCTGAGAAATACCCAAGGCTATAGCCCATGGTTTTTTTCAAAAAATGGCTCCGAAATTACCCCAAATTTTTATTACATTTTCTGATACATATTGATGTCTTTATGCTGTGTAGCAAGTTTGAGCTGATTCCAACTTTAATTTTTCAAGTTACGGCCATTTTGAAAAAACTCAAAATTTTTGAAAAATATCTAAGGCTATAGCCCATGGATTTTTCCAAAAAATGGCTCCGAAATCACCCCAAATTTTTATTACATTTTCTGATACATATTGATGTCCTTGTGCTGTGTAGCAAGTTTGAGCTGATTCTGACTTTAATTTTTCAAGTTACAGCCATTTTAAAAGAAAACGTCAAAATTCTGAGAAATACCCAAGGCTATAGCCCATGGTTTTTTTTCCAAAAAATGTCTCCGAAATCACCCCAAATTTTTATTACATTTTCTGATACATATTGATGTCTTTATGCTGTGTAGCAAGTTTGAGCTGATTCCAACTTTAATTTTTCAAGTTACGGCCATTTTGAAAAAACTCCAAATTTTTGAAAAATATCTAAGGCTATAGCCCATGGATTTTTCCAAAAAATGGCTCCGAAATCACCCCAAATTTTTATTACATTTTCTGATACATATTGATGTCTTTATGCTGTGTAGCAAGTTTGAGCTGATTCCAACTTTAATTTTTCAAGTTACGGCCATTTTGAAAAAACTCCAAATTTTTGAAAAATATTTAAGGCTATAGCCCATGGATTTTTCCAAAAAATGGCTCCGAAATCACCCCAAATTTTTATTACATTTTCTGATACATATTGATGTCTTTATGCTGTGTAGCAAGTTTGAGCTGATTCCAACTTTAATTTTTCAAGTTACGGCCATTTTAAGAAAACGTCAAAATTCTAAAAAATACCCAAAGCTATAGTTTATGGTTTTTTTTCCAAAAAATGGCTCCAAAATCACCCCAAATTTTTATTACATTTTCTGATGCACATTAATGTCCTTATAAGTTTGAGCTGATTCCATCAAATAATTTTTGAGTTTATGAGAATTAAAAATGTAGCCATCGCACAAGTTCATCAATGTACATTAGAAAATGTATTAACCATGGCAATAGCCATGCTGTTTTTCAATAATTTTTATTGTTTGTGCCAGGATTTTTTTTCTATTTTGAAGATTACAATTAATACTAATGTTAATTCATTGCAGTTCTGATAGATATCAATATTTTTATTTTACGTAGACTATGTTAAGCTTTTGAGTTACTACATGTATGTACACTCATTTTTATTATTTTAGAATATTCGTAAGCACAAGTATGAGACAAGGCAGCAGTTTACGGAGCATGTCAATCTAATTGTTAACAATTGCATCACTTATAATGGATTCAACTCTGAATTAACAAAAACTGCCCAAAGGATGTTGGAAATGTCTAACAAAGAAATAAATCAAGTAAGTACTTCATGCAGTGTTATAATGTAATGGTGTGATTATAATGTAATGGTGTGATTATAATGATTGTGTTCTTTGTTGTAGAACAGTCAAGCTCTTGAGAAACTAGAGCATGAGATTAATCCACTGCTGGGAGATGATCCACAAGCTGCTCTGTCCTTCCTCTGTCGTAAATCCATTGAAAGAATGAAAGCAGTACCTAATGTGAGTGATACATGTAGGAGACTTAGTTATTCATTCACAATACACTGTACACAGTATACCTCATAATCATCTTATTTCTATCTTTTCTTTTTATAGTCTTGGCCATTTCATTTTCCAGTATCTTCTAAGAAGTTACCAGATTATAGAATGATCATAACTAAACCAATGGACCTTCAGACTATGAGAAAGGTTTGCTCTTAAGATTATACTTAATATGTATTTCATTGGACTATAATGCATACTTGCTCTCTTGTAGAAATGTGAGGCTGATAGTTACAGAAGTCGTGAGGAGTTTCTTGTTGATCTTAATCAAATAGTTGATAACAGTATCACATATAATGGACCAACCAGTCCCTTTACTGTCACTGCCCAGAGTATGAGGGAAGTGGGACTACAATATCTTGAAGAGGTGAAGGAAGAGAATAAAAGTAGCATTATTTTGGTTGAAGATTGGAAAATTTACTGTTGAAAATTATTTAAATAGTTACAGCCTAGCTACATATACACGTATATGTAGTTGTGATTTGCATGTTTCCAAAATTATTTTCAATTTGTCATGTCATTATGCATTTGATCGATTTGAATTATGAGACTTGTCATGGTTTTTTTTATCAATAAGAAAATCAATGCTTTGCTCTTACCCTTTCGATGTTTTACATTCTGGTGCAGTATATACATATCTGAATGCAATAAGTTACTATATAATTGCCATTATTTTAGGAAAGAGAACATTTTGAACAATATGAAAGCCAGTTAGGACCTTTTGACAAGTCACCACTAAATGAACCAGAAGGACTAGGAGGAGAGAGTGGAGATGAGGAGGCAGAGGAAGAAGATACTAGTACTAACATGAATATTACTGGACAATCCAGTGTCATCATTACTAGTGAAGACAGTATTCAGGTATGGAAACAAACAGATGATCGTATAGCAGACAATTTTGGAGGGAGTTAAAATTGACGAATTTGGCATTTTTATAGCGATTTGCCAAAATAAAAATTAATCATTTTGAGCCATTATAATTTGCCAAATTAAATTACACCAATCACTAACGTTTAGCAATTCACAAAAATTTAGTCCCTCCAAAATTTCCTGCTATATATATATATAATATGATAGTTGTTGATTGTCCAATGACTGTATAGATTGGGACTATAGATGTTGAAGGCACAGATGAAGAGGATATAGAGAAAGGGAGGAAAGGAGAAGGATTGATAGCCAGTAGTTTGTTACCAGTCACTGGTGGTGGTATGGACATATTGAGTCATGATTTACAATATTCATCATCATCAAGCAGTGAAGGAGAGGGGGAAGAGGAGGATATTACTGATATGGAAGAAGTGTAAACTTTGTGTGTATCATACTCCATTCATTTATTTTTAATTTTAAGTCTTTAACTGCACAAAAATATCATTAATGCTTTGCATTAATAAAAATAATACCAAACCAAATTATATCAAAGTCAACAGATATTTTAGTAGTAGGCAGTTGCAAAGTCGGCTCTAGACATTTTATTTCTAGAGTTGCAATGGAGTTCAATCAAGGGTGTAAATGAAAACAACAAAAAGCACAATCACAACTTAATGTTACATGTGATGTAAATTTGTGAACCCTAATTTTGAGTAAACTATCTAGGAACAATCTCTTTCAGTATAATCCTCATGCATAAACTAAATCGTTTTATTTATGTTTCACTGGACAGAGTAGCTAGCTAGGTCTTGAGATTTATACATGGATGTGAATGGAATTACCATGACTGTACTTCTTACTAGGACCAACTGCAATTATATGTGGGTATTGATTATAGCCAATTAAGGATCGTAACTTAAAATTAAAGAAACATGCTAATATTTTGTATATTTATAATATTAATATTATTTATTAAGTATCTGTAGATCTATAAAATTAATTAAATGGCAGACTGTAAGCAATGGACACTCTAGTGGCATTTTTTTAATATTTACCTTTTTAAGGTTGGTTCAATATCACGCCAGTCCTGACATTGTGCTGATGCTGGAATAAATCTGGTTATATTCTAGTGGAAGGCATGTGTCAATTGAAATTGATGGTACGCTGCATGGCCTAACATCATAATTGTAAACCAGCCTTTAAAATGATAAAATTTTATTACATCTTTTTTGCTTCAAAGTAAATAATTATTAAAGTAGTTTATAATAATTATTAAGGAAAAGAAAGAAAACAAAAATAAGAGCTCTATATAATGTTAAAACTTAAAAGTGTGTATGTGTGTGTGTGTTAGGAGATTATGACAGCATTATTAACTGTTAAAATTTGTGTTTACTGTTGGCTAGTTCAAGTGATGATACATATGTATTCTGGTCAAATTTAATCTTTACACTACATACTAAGTAAATGGGAGCCATGCACACAAGTATAACCATGCACACAAGTATAACCATGCAATAATTTACTGTGTTTATAGACTGTGTCCTACTGAAAATGAATCATAGTATCGAAAAGATTTCCAACTGCTGTTTGCTGTTTGGCTTTGAAAACACTTGTAAATCGTCTCGTATAATTTCCATAATAAAATATTGTCAGATTCTTCAGCAAAATTCATCGGTAGCCTACCATTTCTGTTGGCTTGATGAGGATCTAACTGATATGTATTTATTAATTTTTGAACGAGGGGTAAGTTATGAGAATGCGAGGCACAATGTAAAACAGTACAACCATTCTTATCAACTGCAGTAGGAGACAAACGTTTTTCAGTAATAAGATACTGAACTAAATCAAAGTTACCACTTGATGCAGCATGATGTACTAACGTGCGTCCTTCATTATCTGTTTTATTAATATCACAATGCTGTTCCTCAATGAGATATTGAGCAACATTAATGTGACCATTACGACAAGAATAATGAAGACATGTCATACCATTGTTATCTGTGATATAAGGATCACTGTTATGATTCTTAATAAGATACTTAACGGAAGTAATACTGCCAGCCCAGCAAGAATAGACTAATGGTGTACGACCATCAGTATCAGTATCATTAGGATTGAGATTATATTGAGATACGATATAATTTAATACACTAGTAGAACCCGACCAAGCAGCATTATGTGCTGGAGACATACCTTTAATATTTAATGTAGAACTGATATTATATTTTTCTAATGCTTTCACTAGTAATGTACTGCCACTGCATGCTGCTAAATGAAGTAATGATTGACCAGTATTTATAGTTTTATTGATGTCGAACTTAGGGCAAGAGCTAGCTCTCTCAAGAAGTGAGGAAAACATTTTAACTCTTTCCTTTCGTTTCATGAAATCGATATTTTGTTTTATTTTACTATTAATAATCTGAATAACTGGTACATCACGTTGTGTAATAAGCTTACTGTACACTACACCAGCAGGAACGTGTGCAGCTACATCACATGCACAATGTAAACATGAGATGCCTCTTTTGTTAGTATCTAATAATGCTTCATTTCCTTGAATGCTAAGAATATACTCCACAACTGATGATGAAGCATACCACGAAGCATAATGAAGTGGAGTCTTAGCAAATCGATGATTCCCATCACCAATAGATAATTGATATCGATTTAAAAGATACTTAATAAGCTCAACACTTCTATTATTTATACTACAGTAATGCAGCACATTACCGCCATAAATATCCTTAGAATCTGGTGAAAAGAGATTTAATGACTCGAGCTTTTGGACTAATGCTAACTCTCCACTTTGACAAGCAAACAATGATAAAGAGGCTTCTTCTACATTAATTTGAGAAGTATCACACTTTCTGCTGATCAAAAATTCCACTAGGTCAGAATGGCCCTCTATTGCTGAGTACAGTAATGCGGTGTTATTGCTATTGTCTTGTTGATCGGGAGGAACGTCACATGTGTCTACTAGATATTGTACTATAGATAAGTGGCCTTTATAAGATGCCATATGTATACTAGATACACTATTATCATCACCTTCATTAGGATCAATACCTTGATGGATGAGTAGTTGAAGGATCTCAATGTGTCCACCATATGCTGCCGAGTGCAATGGAGTCCAACCATTAAAACCACGCTGATATGTATTGCAATCAAACTTGTTGAGTAGCCATTGTACTTCATCTTTTAATCCTTTCCAAGCTGCTTCATGTAACGGTGTACTGGTATTCTCATACCACAATGGATCACATATATCTATAAATGAAGAATATTATTATTAACACATGTATGTAATGCTGTTTGATCATTGCCCGGAAGAGGGATTGATTAAAGGTCAGTTCATGTACTTACCAATATCAGTGGACGAGTGCTTAACCTCTTCTATTGAGAACTGCAAAATTAAGAACAGTATTAAAATTATTTATACATAATAATAACAAACCTCTCTTATATCATATTTATCTTCACCACATGATAGCTCAGTGATACCAATACTAGCTAACTGTTGCTGTAGCTTTGTACTTAGAGGAAATAATAAAGAATAAAGATACTCAGGAATGAGGTAACCCAAACAGAGAGAACTTAAGTGAACGGATCTGAAGTGAAGATCATATTCAGGAATATCTAAACCTTTTGGTATTGCTCTACGAAAGAAAAATATGTCATCCAGTGTGTAGTCATCTCTGTCAACTTTAGCAATCATTACTCGTGTACCAGGAGGAACACCTTTTACACCAAACTGTACAGCATCAGCATCTTTCAATAGTCCACCACTGTTTATAAAATAATCCTTTAACTTCTCTTCATATTCTGACCAAATTCTCTTTAACGAACGATTGTCAGGTAGAAATACTCTAACAAGTTTTATCATTAGTTTATAGTTGAACCATGACATGTATTTGTGCTGTAATATGGTAAATAATTCTGATATTGTTTTGATATGATGAAACTCTTCTTTAACTGCTTGAACAATTTCTTGAGCTGCTGTTTGCTGTTTTTTGTTAGGACCGAGTAATGACAGTGTATGTGTAATGAGGTAGTCAATGATTTCAGGTAGATCATTTGATTCAAATGATTTTTTTGTTAGCTGAATCGCATCATCGAATTCCTCTTCTAAATCATGCAATCTGCTTGCTAAAAGGAAAGTGTCACCAGAAAGACCATTGGTACCTAAAACATAATGATCATAACTAAATAAACAAATATTGTGACATAAAGAGTCTAAAAGCCACGAGAGGGTATAACAAAAATGGTTGAATTTTGGTCTATTTTTCTATCATAATGATAAATTATTACCTGTTGCTCTGTCAGTGCCAGTAAATTTTGTTGATGACATAGCAACCTCATCTGTTTTGATTTCAGGACTGACACTCTTTTCTAAAAAAAGAGAAAATATAACGAGACACCGATGGTGCGTTGGCCTCACCAAAACAAAGAAAAACAATATTAATTTTGTTATACATGTATAATTTCAAAACTATATTTTGTCCTGCATATTACCACTGTATTAAAAGTTACTTGCTTAGATAGTGTTGAGTGCTATAGTTTTGATTGCATTCTTCATAGTCTAATTAAATGTGAGGGTGTTTGGGAGTGGCTGCAAACTGACAGCATAGCAGTTGTTAAGCCCAACATACACTACAAGCAACATGTTGCCAGGCTTTGATCTTTCTTTCAACCTTGTTGAAAGGAATAGAAAGACTTTCTATTCAAGGCAACATGTTGCTTGACCACATCAAAGCATGATCAAAGGCTGGGCAAATGTTGAAAGCAACATTGTTGAATGTAGTGTATGTTGGGCTTTAGTCTCACTGGCCAGACTCTAATTTACCGAATAAGAGTCTGGTGCCATGCCTAATATCAACTCATGTTTTCAATGTTTTGTTTTGCGTTGGCAAAGAATGTTTTAATCTCTATAAACACGCCCACGCACCATAATATTGTGGATTTATTACTTTTATACTGATTTTATATTTGCTTGTATACTTATTTTATACTTCATACTTGCTTCCTGCCATTAAAAAAATAAAGTAGTCAAGTACCGTACTTCACATTTTTGGCTTTTTTAAGCAGTACTGAAGTTGGAGCAATGATGGCGGCTGAATTCATCTCGGATCCAAGCACATTATTTCTCGAAGCATTTCTTTACTTGCCTAATTGTCTAACCATCAGAGCAGATAAAGGCAATCCAGTCAGCAGTTGTAGTCATAGAAAAAAAGTGTAATAGCTCACTCAGTTCCATTCTTGATAGTAGACTTGCCGTGCATGGGCAGATTCTAATGTAACCGTGGTAACAGTGATCTGATTAGGTTGACCAAATTCCGCCAGACAAGCACGAGTTGATGTTAGGCATGAAACCAGACTCTATTCTAAAAATTGAGTCTGGCCCCGCGAGACTAGCCCTTGTCATAGATATTAGAGTTTAAAGGGATTGGAAACCACAAAAATTATTACATGCAGATGATGCGTATCCTAGCAACGTATGCAAGTTGCCCCCACACGCGAACGGTGGTTTCCAATCCCTTTGTACTCTAATATCTATGCCCTTGTGATGTCATCAATGACCACGCCCCCTAACAGGAAGCAATGGCCTTCAGCAACTTTAGCAAGCTCTATCTTTCCCAAAGCAAGTGCAATGCAAGAATGCAACTAGGAATAGTCTATTTGGGTAGTTTAAATTAAAAATAAGTAATAATCTCAAATTTCATTTTTGTGTGCAAGCCTCCCTTTAACTACATAGTCCTCGCCCACGCTAATCGCTGGCAAGGCCAATAAATAGCAAAATATAATCAAGTAATGCATCAGCAAATTCATCCTCAAGCTCATGTATCTTCTTTGCTAAACTAAAGGATAATTTATTTCAGAATGTTGAACATAAACTGTAAAATAAAACAGTCATCATGAATTACTTCCTGAAAGATTTTTACAATGATAGCTACTACTATCATCACCAAGAGGTAATTTAATGTAATTGTGTTCTGGGTCATAATGTTATTTACTTGTTGAATTATTAGACTTTTCACTTCCAGGTGACATTACAGCATCTATAGGAGAGATATTTCTACTAGCAACTGATAGTGGACATAAAATTTCTTTATCACTTGAGTTGCATCCTATAAATATAATAACATATTCATTATTAGTCCAAAATTGGTAATTATCATACCTGTTGAGCTGTCAGGTGACATTTCTTGATGATTATGAATAACATCAGTAGGCCCACCCACAAAATGAGGAGTAGCTGTAGCTCCTTCAGTAGCTAATGGAACATCATAATCTTTAATAGTCTCAGGAACCACATCCACTTCAGGAGTAGGAAAATACTTGCCTAAACACATAATAATAAACAAACAGTTGTCATCTATTATATAAACAGCATCAATAATGACACAAGATATTGTAAGGATACAGTGGTCATCCTCACTAATATCATCCAGTATAGTTTGTCCCAATGATACATTAGTACTTATTGTACACAATACATTAGCAAATGTATGTAAACTGTTGGGATCAGTTTGAACAGCTTCTTTGACAGCAGTTAATAGAGCCTCAAGTTGATTAGGACTAAATAGAGGGACTAGCTGACACCACTCTAACTATTTCTAGCATTAAGATACGTTCATCATAAAGTAACCAAGCAATACCAACAGAATCACAAAGAGACTGAGACAGGACAGTATGATGATTATTAAAAATATTAATAAGAGCATGGTGTTTATGATAAAAAATACAATGATTATAGTTACATACAGCTATGGTTGACTCACTTAACTTCTCAGCTACAGCAGTTTCATTCATAGATCGTAGAGCATCTGACAGTGAGTCCAAGTTGGCTCCTCCTCTACTGTCAACATTATCAGCTCTACCTAACCATTGGGAGAGGCACTCTGTCATACAACGAGGCACATCACCACGATGCTTTGTTTCAATGACGTCCAGTGTATTCTTCCTTAGTCCTAGTCTCAGTCCAAGCTCATACCATTTTGTTTCTGGGAAGCCACATCTCTGCAATAAGTCAAGAACATCAGCAAGATCATCAACACCTAGACTGCAGAAGGGGCGTGACCGGACTACAGCAAGACAAAAAGTAAAATCAACATTGAGGCTAAGCTTAAGCTTACTTAAACAATTTGTGGCCATAGTATATCTCTCTGTATGTCAAATTTTAGTCAGTTCCCTCGGACTCCTCGATCGCTCCAAATCTCCTGCCTGCTGCACTGCAGTACTACTATACTGGGAGGGAACAAGGGCGGGGTTAGTGTTATTCATTGATAGTTCCAGACAATGTCCAAACTTCAGAAGTTGGTGAAATTCCAGCAATCCTGGCATCATCACAACCCAAAGAATAAACTAGATTAATCCTTATGAAAGAAAATAAGGATAAAAATGTCGAACATGAAAATGAACCAGTAAAAGATACCAGCAGTATGAATACTAGCAGTATGAAGGTTCAGAGTGATGATGATACAAAGAGTAAGGAAGCACCCACTGACCGAACCACTGATACTGTTTCGCAAGGTGATACGAATGACAGCAAAGAAGAGAAACCTTGGTGATTCCAAAATAACCCTAAATTTTAATTACATCCCTGATACATATTGGTGTACTTATGCTGTATAGACAGTTTGAGCTGATTCTGAATCATAATCCAATTATTTTTATACATGTAGATTTAGCTTACATGTACATGTGAACCTCATTAAGCACATACACTTTATATTGTACATGTCCATACATGTACACATGGATATACTGTTAGTCACATAGCAGCATGAAGGATTGTGTAT